GTACATGCACCATATGTGGAAACACAGATAAAGGAATGGCTAACCCTGCTTGGAAAAAGATTTATGCTGAGTCTAGAAGGATAAGGAGGGGTTCACTGAGGAAGCAGGAAGGGCATAATGAGCCACGGGTAGATCATGGACAACAATAGAGGAGAGAGACTGGGGTGTTCAGGAGACAGCAGATATCACGTGGTTGGCATTTAGGAAGGGAGTCGGATTCCGAAAGACACTGACCACCATGCTGAGAAATTTTAGCTTAATTGCATAGGGAGTGTTGCAGCACAAAGGTGTTCTCTTTCCCCCTCTCCTTATCTTTCTCCATCTCTCCCTCTCTCTCCCCTGCCCCGTCTCTCCCCCACAAGCATCGCTAGTAACTTATGGATTTGTTGAGATTTTTGTTGCTGCAGGATAAGTTTTGTCAACAGCAGGATGAAGGAAAAGCAGGTAGAAGAGACAGAGAAGTGGGTTAGGAGGTTTGGCTATACTCCTCATAAAAGCTGATGAAGGAAGAGGGCAGTGGGGAGGGAGCACAGAAAGGATCTCAGAGGCAGCCCAGCAATGACTCAGACCATCCCTGTGTCCCTGGTCTCCTAGATTATCCCTCTTTGGGGTCATCTGTCTCCTTCGAGGCCCTGTAACCCCAGAGCCCTCCCTCACTTGTCTGGGAACAGATGCCAAGCCCCATTTCAGGGCGCTCTTCATGTTCACTCACGTACCTGTGTGGGGGCTCAGCGTCATAGCCTCATAGGACCAGAAGCCATGCCGGACTTAGAGTGTCCTCAGAAACAACCTTCCATCAGGTTTATTAGTCGGATAAAGCTGGCAGTTTGATTCATCTTTGAAATCAGTTTTAAAAATAAAGAATCTGGGGGCGCCTGGGTGGCTCAGTCGGTTACACGTCCGACTTCGGCTCAGTTAATGATCTCACGGTTTGTGGGTTCGAGTCCCACATCAAGCTCTGCGCTGATGGTGTGCAGCCTGCTTGGGATTCTCTCTCTCTCTCTCCCTCTCTCTCTCTCTGTGCCTGTCCCCCACTCACACTCTCTCTCTCTCTTTCTCTCTCTCTCTCTCAAAAATAAGTAAATAAGCTTGGAAAAAAACAAAAATAAAACTAAGAAACTCCATTTCCCGGGTTATCAACAGCAGCTTAGTTCGGGGGGCAGAAGGCACCTACTATTTTTTCGCAGCTTGGTGGTCACACATCAGGATCTCCCTCACCTTGAATAGGAATTGTCAGTTCATAGTTTCCAACACGGCCACCCGGTCGTGAACAGATGAGAAAATACCCAGACAGACCGTCCCCCCGTTAGATATGGGATGGCAGTGGATATGAAGAAGCCCTCTGTGAGGATGGGCACGAGGGAGGGTTGAGGTTCGTCATACCTCTGAAAGCAGCAGCCAAGAAGCTCAGCCAGATTCACAAAGGAGGGGGGAATGGTGCAAAACACCCGCTCTCGCCTTCATCCGTGGAGGGGCCACCACCTTCCGAAGCAACCTGCAAACAGGGGAGCACCGTCAAAGAAGACAGCAATTGGAATGGCTGACTTTCCGTATGTGCTTTTTCTTTCAAGCCCCCGGATGTGGCACACTGCTGATGGTCCATAAATGCTTTTTGAATGGGTAAGAGGTTTGGACTACGCAAGTGATTTTCAAAATGGACTTTACAGAGGCCTATAGGGGCTTCCCAGAGATGTCCAGGACGGGCGGTAGAGGAATTATGTGCCGTAGCAGATCCGGTCTGCTGTATCTGTGTTCCCGTTCATCTCTACAGCTCTTTTTATTTCAGGAGAAGGTTCTACAAGTACGTCTAGGGAGATGGGGCTGCATTTACCAGAAAGCTCTGGCTAGCTGAATGCCTTCAATGTTAAGACATGAACCAGCGTTTCCAGAAAATTCTGGGTGCTCTCCCATTCCTAAGGTATCATTTGGATGCTATGCAACAGTAAGACCTCAGTGAACTGATTGCCCGTGCTCAAAGTGCTCTAACAAGTCACGGTTAATGTGTTTTTAATTCATTGAGACCAGCTCTCTTCCCTGACATTTGGGGAAAAGAGAATTCTAGAAGCGGCCCGGTTTAGGAGGAATGAGGCTGCCATCGTGGGGTTCGCCCAGCTTGCCTTATAAATATTATTCTACCCAGACCTTTAGTTCTTCAGACAGCCGGCGATACCGTTGTGGCTTATAGTGACAAACTCTTGGCCGCCCTCTGACCCTCATCTTCCCCCCTCCCCCACCAAACTTCTCCAGGGAAGCTGGACTTGGAAACCAGAATGACTTCCTCAGCCACAAGGCAATGAGGCCTGGAGTTTTCTCCTCTTAGGGTATCTTTCTAACTTGCTATTTCCATCATTAGCTTTAATGACTCTTCCTCCTCCTCTCTTTCTTTCCAAACAACAAGCTATTTTCATTCTCTGTGGGGGTGGCAGGCCTCCAAGCTTTTGGCAACTCTCCCTTTGAGCAAGGACCCAGGGAAGAATTTTAGCTGGTGGGCTGAGAGCGTCTAGGACGGTTACATGCAGAACGATACTTAGATGAGGAGGAGGTGTTGGAGGGGCTCTCGAAACACACTGATTTCAAGACCCGTTTCGCAGATGACAAAGCTGCGACCTAACAGCTGAAGCAACTTGCCCAAGATTGCCATTGTGGGGACTAGGGGGACATCAAACTGTAAAAGCTGGGAGGGCAGAGTTGAAACTGAGGCTGTCCGTGGTTGGCTTAGGTGGTGACCTGAACTTCTTATACTTTCCCAAGTGAAATGTAGCAGCAACAGCATCCGGAACTTTCTGGAAACGCTGGTTCATGTCTTAACATTGAAGGCATTCAGCTAGCCAGACCTTTCTGATAAATGCAGCTCATCTCCCTACTGGGCTGTTCCTCAGCTCTCTCTGCTGGGCCTGCTCAGAGCTCTCCGGGGCCCCCAGTCCAGTGCAAAAGGAGACAGCGAAACTTCATGGATAGAAAAAGTGTTCACCGGCATGGCAGACAGACCCATACTCTTTTCCTAGGGTCTCCTCTCTCCCACAACTACCAATCCTGTCGTGAGTAAAACACACATCTGTGCCCATCCTTCGAATCGGTCCTGAGCCCACTTCTATTTTGTCCCCTGTGCAAACCGGCATCCAACAAACCTCCCTCAACTGGCTGGGTCAATCCCTCTCTAACTCAGGCTGAGACCCAAGAAAAATGTGCACATAGACACACAGAGACAAATACACACACACACACACACACACACACACACACATCACAGAGAAACCTAGAAGACAGCAGAAGGGATTGCTTTACAAAGAGTGTTTATTTGCTTCTTTCTCTTTCTCTCTCCCAACTTTTTCTCAAGTTCATTTGAATTACTAATTCAATTTGAATATATAAAACCAAAACTAAATACATTATTTTTAAAACGTCTCTGAAAATACGCATAGTCTCTCCTTCATGTATGCTTCATTCACTCAATGAACAAATGTTGGTTTTCATCTTGTTACCGGACACTGAACTTAATGCTAAGGACAAGAAGAAGTTTGAAAGGGGTGCCTGGGTGGCTCAGTCAGTTAAGCGCCCGACTCTCGATTTCAGCTCAGGTCGTGATCTCACGGTTCATGGGATCGAAACCCGCTTTGGGCTCTGCGTTGTTGAGATTCTCTCTCTCCCTCTATCGGCCCCTCCCCTGCTCTTTCTCTCTCTCTCTCTCAAAAATACATACATAAATAAATAAATAAATAAGAGGGCTGATAGACTGTTTCTGTTCTTAGCCTATCACTTATCAAGGAAAGAATACACTAAAGACATCAGTTAAATACATTAAATGTAAACGAATCCCGATATTACAATACGATTACAAACGATTTCTTAGCCCCGGTTAATGATCAGTCTGTTATTGATGGAAACATTGTCCCACAGCGTAAGTTTCTAGTTCAACCAAAGAGAACCTCAGGGAACACAGGCAATGAGGTTCCACCTGTACAAGGTGTGACAAATAAGAGGCTTTCATTTAGTTGAGTCACAAACACACCACAATTCCTGTCTCCAAATAAATGGTGTCCTTCAATGGAATCATATGGAAGGCAATCATTCCAGCCATAGTGTCTCTGTTCAGGTTATTTTTGGAACTGTTCTGTTCAAACCTTTCATGATAATCAGTTTACCGCCACATGGGGAAATCAGTCATTTTTTTTTTCAATAGTCCACCTTACAATTATATTAAAAAGAAAGGGGGGAAATGAGGCATTGGGAGTGTCACTGGAAGAATCGGGACACACAAGATGCCAAGAATAATGGAAACAACAAGCCCAGACTGCCAGTTCTCTGAGCGCAGTGATGGTGCCCAGCATCCCCTAGTGCCTCCCACAGTGCCTGGCATAGAATCGGCAATTAATAGACACAGGTTGAAAGGAAAAACGATTGAGGGAAGAAAGAAATGAGGCAGCGTGGTGGTCAGCTCAGTAACCCAGCACACCGTGCTCGCAAGTTGTCCGGACCGGCCAGCACTTCTCGGCCACGGAGGGGAGCTGTGGTCACCAAGAGTCCAGGGAAAAAGGGGGTTTCCATACCCTTTTCTTCTCTTGTCATCTTCATTTTTAATAAAAGCACAGGGCTAGGGGTTTTTTTTAATGTTTTTTTCTTCATTTATTTTTGAGAGAGAGAACGCGGGTTGGGTGGGGCAGAGAGAGAGAGGGACAGAGGATCCAAAGTGGGTTCTGCACTGATAGCAGAGAACCTGGTGTGGGGCTTGAACCCACAGACTGTGAGAGCATGACCTGAGCCAAAGTCGGACACTGAACCAACTGAGCCACCCAGGCGCCCCACAGGGTTAGGTTTTAACTAAAAATATTCTCGGGGTGCCCGGGTTGGTTGAGTGTCTGACTCTTGACTTTGGCTCAGGTCATGATCTCTCTGTTCACGGGATCAAGCCCCCTGCCAGGCTCGGCACTGACAGTGTGGAGCCTGCTTGGGATTCTCTCTCTCTCCCTCCCTGCCCCTCCCCTGCTTGTGCTTTCTCTGTCGCTCTCAAGATAAGTAAAGAAACATAAATAAAATAAAAAAAAATAATAACAAATAAAAATATCCTCACCCTCAGCGTTTACGATCACGTATTTGACACAACAGCAAAGGGATGCCAGAATCATCATAACAGCCAAAGGCAGACAAGGTTCAAAGCCACAGCCCTCATTGTCACACCCTCAGGCCAAAGCCCTCAAGTCCGGACAGGCTCACGTGGTGGCTGGATGCCTTGCTGGCCCTGCCTTTCATGCCCCCTTGCTCAGGGTCAGGGCTCCGAGGGGGTGAAAACCAGTGACAGGCGGGTCACCATGTGGCCGCCCTGCCTGCCGGGCAGAGCAGTCACCTGTCTGTGGAGGGGCTCAGTTTGGCTCCTGCCTGAACCTCAAGAGCCTGACGTTTCTTGAATTATAGCCAAGGCCTGCAGAAGCCCCCCTGGGCCCTGTGTCTGCCAGGGGTCTCTGGAGTTTGCTACTCTCCAGACCGGGGCTGCCGGCCAGGGTGGGCAGGGAATGAAGGTTCTGTGCAGCTTCTTCTCTACAACAAAAGCAATTTCAGAAGATGATCCTCCCTGGGGTGGGGTCAGGAGTGTTGAGAATGGATCAGAGGGCGAGATTTGTCCAGACAATCAGGATCTGCTTCTATATTTCAGTTTTCCTGGAACATGAGAAAGAATGCTTTCTCCCATTCAAACTGCACACACCTTAAAACAATGGCCTGTAAGTGTGTCATTTGTTAGCCAGCTGACGCTTTGTGCCCCTGGAAATCCCTGAAATGGCCCCATCAAAACCTTCTTCCCCCAATTCAGAAATTCCCGGCGGCTCCTTCCCTATGCCCTCCCCTGGGCACATTGCAATTTGTATTAGTAGTTAAACCAAATAAAATTATTAATTATATTATCGGTTTTGTTCTAGCAGAGCTTACAATAGGCCAAGGGCTTCGAGTCAATGATCTCACTGAATCCTCCTAAAAATGGGATTTATCCCAGTTTTACAGAAATGAAGAGAGGGTATATATATGCAGCACCCGAAATAGAAGCATAAGCCCACGTTATTGATTTTACAAGCCGCTTTTCAGAGTTTCCTGGGACTCCTTTTCCATCCCAGTCAGGCTGTGTGAGCAGAGGATAAGACCTACCGGCACAGGCGTGGAGGGTACAGCCATGATCCAAGAAACTCGAAGACCCCAAGTTAACCAGACACTTCCCCAGCTTTTCCAGAGCTTGGCTGCAAGGTCACTAAGCGTGGACTGTAAGGGAGGTGAGCGGCCACACACAAACCTCCTCTGCTTACACTCTAGTCCCTTCTGACCTCCAGCTTGTCAGCAGTTTTCCAGCGCTGGCTGATCCCAGCTGATTCCAAGGTATCCTGTGAACTAAAACCCAGAGAAAGCCGTTTACAGAGTGATTCACTAGCACCTAGCACAACATGCCTCGTGCACAATAGATGCCCAACAAATACTTGCTGAACGGCCGATCTTTGCCAGAGGCTCTCACTGGGCAGGTGAGAGCAGCCCCCCACCGCCCCTCCGTGTTCCTGAGTGTTTCTCAAAGAGACCCACGGTGCTGTGCGTGTTAAATGGGGACCAAGCTGTCCGCTCCAGCTGGGTCCACGGGAAAATCCAAACTTTGGCCCGGCTTTTTTCCTGCCCCAACCCCGATCTCAGGCAGGTAGGACTGAAGACCGCTGTACCAGAATTGGGTGTTTTGGGGTGTGAGCCTGGGCCCCCCCAAAGCTTAGAAGACATTGACCCTGGGCATTCACGGAACAGGCATTTATCTTTACTGCTACCTTCCCTCCCCTGAGTCCTTAATCTTCCTGGTGTCCTTTAAATGTCTCATGAAAGCATTGACTGATAAGTAAGGTAGGATATTTACATTTTAAAAGCAGGACCCAAATCTGGAAAAGTCTCCTACCCAAAAGAAGACAGATCTGATGGGGATATAACAGCTGAGGGCAGGAACCCTTGTCGTCAGGGCAGGAAAAAAACCCTGATTTTCCTTAAAATCACGAGTAAGTCCTCAGAGCAGCTGTCCAAAAGGCTGGTGACTCCCCACAGTCTAGGAAGGACTGTGTACAGGAGGTGCCTTTTATTTTTTTTTTTTTATTTTTTTTTTTCAACGTTTATTTATTTTTGGGACAGAGAGAGACAGAGCATGAACGGGGGAGGGGCAGAGAGAGAGGGAGACACAGAATCAGAAACAGGCTCCAGGCTCTGAGCCATCAGCCCAGACCCTGACGCGGGGCTCGAACTCCCGGACCGCGAGATCGTGACCTGGCTGAAGTCGGACGCTTAACCGACTGCGCCACCCAGGCGCCCCCAGGAGGTGCCTTTTATAACAGCCTCACCAGAAAGGCAATAGATGTACCCCCATCCTTGGTTATAAACCACCTGTTTGAGACGCAGCGGGGAGAGAGAGCGAAAGACAGCGTGCTTAGCAAATACTTTCCCGGCCTGCTGTTTACCAGTTGTTTTGTCGAACGCTAGTCCGGGGCACAGAGAAGATACGAGATACATGCCCTCGCAGAGCTCCTGGCCTCGCACGGGACACGAAACTTAGAAGCAGATATTGTCAACGTAACGTGCCAGGTCTTCTGATACCCGTAGCATCAAGGGACACACGCCCAGGATAAGCCACCCCCAGCCTGGGGTTTCAAAGAAGTGTCCCCAGAGAGACTTCATTCACATTAAAAGATACGCATTTGGCCCAGTTTCCGATAATTCGGTGGTGCCGACCTCCTCCACCTGGCTTCCCTCCATCGACACTCTTCCCAAAGCCACTGTCGAGGTGCATCCCTCCGGCCAGAAAGCACCCCAGTTTGGCTGCAGAGGACTCACTGTCAATGCAGCTTGGCCCAGCCAGCTTCAGGCCTACGAAGGAGAGAAACGCCACGTGTCAGGGACCAAAGGCGTAAGGAGGAGAAAAGACAAATGTGTGCTGCCTCCCCAGAAACGTTTGCCAACGACATTATCCAGAGGCAAGGGCAGGTCCAGGTTTTGTGGGCCCTGGAGAGTAGACAATCTGATGAACATTCTTTAAAAAAGAAGAATCTGGAGAGATTCCTTCTACGAATTGTCAAAGGCGTGCGACTTATGAACAACTTGCTAGGGTCCTCTGCAGAAAGGGGGCCCGTGTCAGGGAAGGGGGTCCTAAAGCCTGAGTTTCACCGACTTCCTGGCAAATCCACCTTTGTTCACAGGCAAAGAAAGGGTCTCTCTCGGAAGGAAAGAATCGGGATCCACAACCGCCTCCCAGAACTTTTCATCCTGAACCGCAAAGGCAGAGTGGCAGCTTATGACTGAGAGAGACAGAAACCTGCGCCCAAACAGGGCTTCCTCCACCTGTTCCTGTGGGGCTCCAGAAAGATCTGATGTTATTTTTAGAGCACAGGCTTTTCTTTGGCATTTCAGTTGGGCCTCTGACCTTTGCATGGCAAAGGAAATTGCCATACTGGGGGGAAACAAAATAGTATCCTTATTGCCTTATTGTCATTGTTATTCTAATGAGCCAAGGGCGGAAGATACGAATTTCTAAACAGCATGGCAAAAATATTTGCCATCCTTGCTTCTCTGTTTTGTTTATTTAATTTCGTTTGGCGACTACAAAGGTCCAAAGTGCAAACCTTTCACACGAACTGCAGCGACACATTTATCGCGTTTGTTTCGCTCCAACACACCATGTTGCTGAAGATTAGGAAGAAGGGTCCAATGACCAGAGAGATCTTGACGACTCTAGCGCTGTCGCCATTACTGGTTCTGTGACTATTACTAATTAACACTCACTCAAGTAGTAACCAGCTCTCCCCAAGACTTCACTGGTGAAATGAGAAAGGGGCGAATTCAGCAAGTACTAACCCAAGCAGGGTTCAGAGAACAAAGACATCTGGAAAGGCTCGCCATGTTGAGTTTTTCACTCCTAATCCCAACCCGTGTGGCCTCCGCTGATACTCTAGGCCAGGAAGCATGTCTTTCTATATTCAGCCCAAAGCTTGGACTAGGGCTAAGGCAGGTGGCTGACTATTCAGCAAAACCCATCCCTCCCTCCCCCACCTTGCCTCCTTAGGGAGACAATCTGCCCTGTGACACAGCTCTGGCTGGTGATACTACTGGGCAGGAGGCCTCTTCTAAACCCAAAGGGCAGACCCTTTCTAACACGGGGGGGTGAGGGGGGCTCTTCATTTTATGGTCCCCCTTTACCTTCTTTTCTTCTCCCTTCCCATTCTCCCCACGGGTCAGCTTGAAGATCAGATGCTACCCTGGAAAACAAGGGAGGGCAAGTTTGAGGAAGGACCTTATGTGCTAAGCATGCCACAGAATGTCCCAGACTCGGGGGCACGTGGCATGGGTAGGTGACCCATCAACGCTGGACTCGTCTCTTTGGACTATTATTTGATGAGACGAACAAATCCTTATGTCCTGAAGCCACCGCTGGCAGATATTTTTGGTACTTTTTACCAAATACATTCCTACCTGATGCAAGAGGAACAAATAACCCACTCCCCTCTGATTCCATAATAAATGTGTTAGCAAATAACGGAACAAAATATAATAGTCCTGTGTTCTCTGAGCTCCTCTTTTCTCCTGGATGAAACAGGTAACTCTCCTTGAATCCCCTCGTCTTTAAGTTGCTCTGAGGATAAAATAATACATGTGAGAACACTTTGAAAACTGTAATTTGTATCTTTATTCACTGTGGCAGGTGTGCTGGGAGAGGCATGCCCTCCGAGAGCTTACCCATTGTGGGGTATTAGGGTCAGCCAACAGGATACTTATTTTTGTGAGTCTTCCTAGAGCTGTGCCAGAGAGAGTCACGGTCAGCTAACAAGACCTGTAGAAACTAGGAATAAACGTTAAAGTTGGGGTCAAACTCCCCCCTCCCCTCCCTTAACCATGCCAGAAGGAACACAGAGTGATGGATAACCAGGAGTTCTCAGATCCAACCCTGCATTAAGTTTCCAGGGATTTCTGCCACAAATTACCACAAACTGGGTAGCTTCAACAGCGGTTTATTTCTCTCACAGTTCTGGAGGCCAGATGTTCAAAATCAGAATGTCGGACAGGCTTGGTTGCTTTTGGAGACTCCAAGGGAGAATTTGTTCCATGCCTCTCTCCCCGCTTCTGGTGACTTCCAGTAATCCTTGGTGTTCCTTGTTTGTAAATGCATTGTTCCAATCTCTGCCTCTATCACCACATGCTGTTCCCTGTCTGTGACTCTTCGTCTTCTCCTTTTCTGTCTCTTATAATGACTCTCCTCTCTGGATTTAGGGACCGCCCTAAATGAGCATGATCTCAATATGGGTTCCTTACCTCGACTGCATTACCTTACATGAAGACTCTTATTCCCAATAAGGTTGCGGCGGGCATATCTTCGAGGGGCCACAATAGAAAACCCAATAAGGTCACTGAAATGCCGTTAGGCCCTGGCCCTGGGTGACTGGTCCATATTCCTGCAGAAAGGGGAGTTTTAGATGCGCCCTTGGGGCCCAGGGGTCTGTGGTTACGGAGGGGTCCTCGGTCCTTCTCCAAAGGCTGAACTGCAGGAGGAAACTTTGGCTCCCACAGCAGCAGATGGAGCAGTGAAAGAAGCAGAAGCAGCAGCATCCGTTGCAGGAAAGGAAGCCAGCACTTCCCCTGCGACGCCCCTTCATCTCCCTACTGGCCACCTGTCTGACTTGCCCCAAGTTCCAGAATGATCCTGACAGGATGTTTCAAGCACGCTCAGTCCTCCTCCTCACATCCTTCCCCTCTTCCCCCCTATCTGCCCACCCACTCTACACCTGGCAGGGCTGAGAATCAACCCCCCCCCCCCCCATTTTGGTCTAACCTGGGAATCCCCTGGGCCCCTGAGATCACCTTAGTCAGTATACCCCCCCCCCCCAACGAATGTCCCCCCA